CAAAATGATGAATATGAAAATGAACCTGGGCCCGGGCAGCATCCGAGATCTCAGTGAAGATAATGTGGCGGATGAACGCGGTGAACCGGGGGGTAGAGGTGTCGCAAAGCCTGGCACTTGTTTAATAATTATCGGAATTGGTGAATTTCTTCATCCTCATGTTCATCAATATATTCAATGAAGCAAATGTTGCGGATGAGAGCAGTGAACGCGGGGGTAGACGTGTAGCCGGGCCGAGGGTGCTGCTGAAAATAATGATGAAAATGAGGATGAAGAAAATTATCATTTTGTTTACCCTAATATACAAGTGTCAGGTCTTGCGACACCTCTACCCCCGGGTTCCGGGCCTTCATCCGCCACATTTTATTCAGTGAATATATTGATGAAAATGAGGATGAGGCCATTGGGAAATGCTGGGAGGCACCCCCCCCCGCCCCCCCCGTTTCCGCTTACCCCGGGCAGACGCAACCGAAAGTACGCCAGTCTGTCAAGAGTTTAAAGGTTTGAGGTACTGCAAACGTACTGAAGTCGCTCTGTTCACTTAGCTCCAGCTTGTCGCGCCGACCGAAATCAAGTTTTACTAGTTTTCTGAGTGTCAAATTTTGTGTACAAGATACTGGCAGGCTAAGAGAGAGTATAAAATCTGTCCCCCGGTTCCGCAACTACCGACGGTACAGTACCGGACTCTATCGGTACGCGAATTTTGGCGCTACAGCTGAGTACCGGGGTACGTACTTTGGTAACAGCACAATGAACCGGGGGCTCGACCGGACGCGTGGCGCCGCATGAGCGGGGCGCTGCCCTTCAATATTTTCATCATCTTCCTCAACTTCTTCAGTGAAAAAAAGGAGGAAGATGAGAGGAATGAACCGGGGGGTAGACGTGTATGGCTGGTGAAGATCATGAACGGAATGATGAATATACGGAGGATAATGAAGACGCTTTGCCGGAATAATGAAGGCAATGAACGGAATCGTGAAAATAATGAAGAAAATGAAGGCTTTCATCCCAAGGAAGGCTGAAATGATGAGATTGAGAATGAAGCCAAATCTTGTAATATTTCCGTCCCCATTAGTACTTCGTGTGCTCCTCTTCGGAGTCCCGCTCTGAGAGAGTGTACAAGCTTTTTCTATTAAGTTGTATAGAGGGGGAAAGTCGTCTCGAACGCGAACTCCTCCTAATTCAACCCCGGCACTAGAGTTTTTTTGGGCAGAGTACGGACGTTGATCTTGAAAACTCCATGATACACTCAGTATGACATTCACTACCACTGTAATATGGTTTCTCGCGTCACTGGGCTGTTGTACTTTCGGCCACGTCTAAAAAAGAAACTTCATTACTTTAGGCTGACGCTGTCCACGTTAAGGACCGACGGGCCGACTCCTAGACCTTCTCATATCGTACTCGTCACGAGCCTATTCATCCAGTGTTAGGATTCCACCTTCGAAATGGCCTTATCTTTTCAAGTGAGTAGTCCTTGGACGTGGCAAGGATGAACCAAGCCTGAGTTCAAAGAGCACTCACAAGAGTACGAAGGGTTCAGGCTGACGCCTCGTGCATGAGAGCCTCGAACAAGCTTTATCTGCAGCAACAAGACGAAACCTCTCATGGGTTTGATCCTGAATCTCAACCTGCTTCGCCGGAGAGCCTTCTGGCAGGCCGCGCTTTGACGCTAGGGTCCACTTATGTGGCTCTTGTAATGAAACTTCGTTATGGTAATGCGGGATCCCATTTGCAGATTTTCTCAATCAATCGGAATCAGAAAAAAGATACTGAACACAGCTCTCCTGGTTGCGGGCCATGCACCGGAAACTCGCTCGTGTCTCTAGGTCTGGCTGTTGACGCCGCGGCCTTTTCTTGCGACCTTTCATGTCAAAACCAATTGGTAGACTGGAACTGTTCCTGTTCCTCGTACGTGTCCTTCGACGATTACTACTACGAGCACTGTTTACAATTGAAATCGTCGTCTGGACAAGAATCGAATCGTCTTTTCTGAATGTGACGTTTTCCAGAACTTGCGTGACTGCACACACTACGTGGCACGGATAAACCCGCTTGAAGTCGGTTCCGCTGACCAAGCACTTTTGACTTTACTGAGTGCTCAAGACGCGCTTCTTGTCACCGGTGACTGAGGTCGTTTCCGGAGCTCTCTTGAGACTGGTCTCACCAATCTCACTGTGGGTGTAGAAGTCGATATGAACCCATATTAAAGCTCTTTTTCCCGCCAATCCGATAGCTCTAGAAATGGCTTAACACGCAGATTGGTCTCAGAATAGTGATCATTTGCCGAGGCCAGTTCCATATCAGGCGCCCCCTCATGTTGTGCGGACGCTCAGGAGTACTCCTCATATTAGTCGCAGATACGGACGATTTTTACAACTGCACAGCATTTTCAGGTCACTGCAGCGCAGTGACGTCGGGCAGCTTTGTTCAGAGAGGAGGCCGGACGTCTTCGCTTCTTGGGCTTCTCAATTCTTGTCGGACGATCGCTTATACTCGTGTGCTCTTGCCCTGGTCTTTAAGTGCCGCCGGTGCTACGCTGCTACTCTTTGCCATGCTCCCAACTGGGCGAGGAAGAAGAGCACCTCGGCTGTCTTGTCTACGCCCAATAGGACACGCAAAAGCTCCAGTTACTTGATGCCGCCTGCCAGTTTATCTCCAGATTATGTACCTCTGACGTCATCCTGGACCATTGCTTGTGCCTTCTGAAAGCG